CAATAAAACACAGCTTGGCTTATTTCTTTGCAAGACCAAAACTAAACACACAAAATAAATTTTTTCTTTTGAAAATAAAGACAAAACTCTTATTTTTAGTGTAGAAAGCATTTCTGTTGCTCTTTTCCTTAGGCTGGAGGACAACTTCACCATAAGGACACTGCTAACTTAAAGCAACAGTTTTTTGTTTATTTTGTGCTACTAGAGATAGAACCCAGGGTCTTTGCACTGATCTATATCCCAAGCCATTCTTTTTTTATTTTGCGAAAAGTGCTCACTAAGTTGCTAAGTTTCCCAGGCTGGGTTTGAACTTGCAGTTCTCCTGAGTCAGCCTCCAGGTGTGCTGGGATTACAGGCATGCCCACTACATTTAGCTAGTGAGTTGCTTTTAAGTTTGGTGGATTCAGTGGCATTGTTTTTCCATCCAAAATGTTCTCATTATTGCTAAATCCCACTCTTTGTCTAAAAAGAAAAATTCACCACCCCATTTTCAGTGAAATTTGTACTTATATTATTTAACAGTACCTTTAAGCCTGGAAATTTCTTCTAAGAACTAGGTTCTTAGCCAGAACACATGTGATTTATACCTTCTTTGGGAACTAGCTATTTGGAACTGGCTGACTTTGAAGCAGCAGTATTCTACTTGTTGCAATTATCTGTTCAAAGTAATAAAGTATCTACTACTACGAAGATATCCATTAGAAAACATAAGTTAATTATATTTGCTTTAATTTTTGTTGCATTTTTTCTAAATATAAATATTTGTAATTCACATAAATATATGTATTTTATAGAGTCTTTGTATTCATATAAAGTCACATAGTACAGTTACTAAATTTGAGAGATTAATTTACACAAGCCTAGTATTTAGAAAATAAAGCACTACTTTTATTATTTGGTAAGGTTTAAAAATTCTTAATGAACCATACTCCACATAAGTAGTTTGACATGAATACCAGCTCAAAGGGCTCATGTAGAGGCCAATAAAGATGGAAAAGGATTCTGGAAATCCCAGAATTTGTCTGCAAAAATTGTATATATGTATGTATGTATGCATATATATGTTCACTTATCTGAGCATTTCATAGTTGCACAAAAGATAGTAAGAACCAAGGCTCAGTGTAGACCTTTCTCCATGTTCATTGCTACAACTAGATTGAAATACAGATACTGAACAAAGTAAGTATAAGAGAAGCTCTAAAAGGGCTACTACCACACGCGAGCATGTTGTACATGCCTTCTGCTGCTCATTTCTAAGGATTAAAACAAACACTAGGCCGCAGCCATGGATCAAGGAATCAAGATTCGAAAGAAGTGGCTTTCTAGGTCTCCCCATCTTGGGGTTCAGAATATGGGTGGATTCCTTAAGCGGATTTCTTAAGGGGATGAAAGGTGAGGGGTCTGCATTTTTCTTTCTAGGTGCTGTGAGGTGTCACTAGTGGTTGCATTTGGGCCCAGTGGGCTTCTCCTCAGTGTCTGGTCCAGGTAGGCATGTTCCAAACCGTCCAGGCTGTGTCTGCCACTTCCTGCCAGAGCAACACAGCATCCTTCTGACATAGGGGAGGTCTCCTTAAGGGGCGGCTTCAGGGGCTCTGCTTCACTGTTCCTTTGCACCCCTTCCCGCCCCCAGCTAGCTCGATACACGTCTGGCTTCCTGTCTGATCACAGACTTCACTGCATGCCCAGAATTATCCTCAGCTTACTCAGCTTCTGCTGAAGCCCACAGATGTGCAGCTGACAGGAAAGCACTTTAATTAGCAGTTAGGGCGTACTCATGTTTTGTGGTCCAACAGGAGCTTTTGTCCACCGGCTAACTCTGGCTAAGCGCTGGCATTCCATCCAGCTGGTACCCTTTTCTAGCTGCTTCTTCACTCCAGCCGCTCTTGATATGTCTGTGCCCGAAGAAATAGCAAAAACTTGAAGGAAGATTCCTCTGGCGCCCCTCAAGTCTACGCATCCCACGCACCCAGCTGCGCAAGGCCAAGACAGCGGTGAGCCAAGTCCGCCTCGAGGGTGCGATGCGGCCAAAGGCAACTTAGGGTTTTCCCGTTTTCCTGAGTGTTTCACACACATGAGCCGCCCGCAAACATTTAACTTTCTGTGTGCTTTTTATGGGCGAAAGGTATGAGTGTGCTGCAGCAACCAAGTTAATAAGATGTGTTTCTCTGCTGATGGCTGCCAAAAAATCCCGTCAGGTGGCGGTTGAGTGTGTTTGTGGAATTGTGAACCAAAGAGGATCAAAGTAAAACTCCATCCAGAAGCGGGAGATTCTGCTCAGGGTCTGGGATCCCCGAAACAGCAGATGAGTGGAAGGAGCGCGCCACAGGTCCGCCAGGAGTCCACCCACAAGCCCTAGAGGAGCAAGTGGTTTTGTCCTCCCCCCGCTGCTGAAGCAGAAATAAAAGAAAGAAAGGCCGCTCGCAGCTGGTAACAGTGCGTTCCATCTTACCGCCTCTCAAATCTTTCCCGGCTTGCCTAAAATGGCAGGAAAATTGTGCCCCTGAGCCCCCAGCCGCACAGCACACTGCGGCTGCATCTTGGACAACGCCCCCACCTAGCGGTCTCAGCTCGCCTGTTTTGCTTCCTTTGCCTGTGGTTTCCGAGTGCGACAGTTTGCAAAGTAATGAAGTCTAGCTAGGCGCCTGCTGTGGGTGGGTGGTGTCGTGGGAGGGTGGGAAGGACCCCTAAATTGTGGTGGAAAGAAGCTTAACTTGCAGGAGCAATGCTAGGCGCTAAGAACTGGCGCAGAAGAGAGAGCAGGTTGTGCATTTGTGCTCAGGCAGCTACCACAGAGGCTGGCATCAAGAGGACGTCTTTGGAGAGCTGTCACCTCAGAGAAAGGAGCATGCTCTCAGCACATAGCTGTCTTATTTTCTTCATGACACTTACTACCCTTTGAAAGTGTATTAATTGTTTATTTCTCCAAGTATTTATTGTGTCTGCCTCTCCTAGAATGTAAGCCTCTTAAAATTGGGTCTGGCCCACCCATTGGTCGCCACAGTTCAGGTGCCTAGAAACATGCCCAGCATAGCCAAGGGACTCTTTCTCTCCCCCTCCCTCTCCCTCTCTCTCTCCCTCCCTCTTGCCCTCTTTCTGTCTTTTTTTTTTTTTCCTGCCAAGGAGGCCTAGAGAGTCAGGAAATAAGAGAACTGGGGCTGAGGCCGTGTCACGTTGGGTAAAGGGCGCTTTTTGCCCCCTAAAACTGTATGTGTGGGTCGGATAATCTCCCAGGACTGGATGGTTCTCTTTAGAACATACTTGCATATAACCAAATATGTTCAATTACAATGTGATTTTCATTAGACACATTCATGCAGGCTCTAGGGACTCAAGGTGAGAATCGCCTAGGACTGAAGATAGGTTGTATTCTTCTGATTCTTTCCGTTAAATTTTCTAATTTCTGCTTCTACCCTGCCTTTGTTTCTGTGGAGGCTGGAGGGGAAACTGAGAGCAGGGACTCTGCTTGTGATTAGGGGACCTCACTGCTGCTCTGCTTGTCACCATCCCTGGCTGGCATCCAGATGTATTTGCTGAGTGCAAAGGAGGCAAACTCATGACAATCAGTTTTTCCCGAATCCGAATCCTGATGACCTCCTTTCTAGGCGGGTTGTGGGAAGACATTTGCTCACTGGGAACTGTTTTCCAGAAGCAGGGAACTGCTCAGCAGCTGGAGTGGGAGGGTGAAGTGGAAGGTTTAATTTCACATACACTTGGCTTCTGCTTGTGACAGGTTTGTATTTTGGCACCCTCTGCCACTTTGACTCACAAAGTTAAAGATGAGGGATTGAATGACAAGCACAAATCTCTAAACCTAGATAGGAAAAACTAATTTTTAATGTACCAAGAGTGAAGGATGACTTGGAGCCTGAAGCCCAAAGTCTAACACGAAATACAGTATTGGCTGTTTTCTCGTAAGGCGAGATCATTGGCGCCTCCCTCTAACCTGGGTGTGGCTCACAGGACCCATAAAATTCCAGATTGGGGAGGTGGGAGACTGGGCCCAGTTCTGCCTAGCACTGGCCTCGCAGGAGGGCGGAGGGGGCTGCGGACGCCCGGAAGAGACGAGTGGCCGCGGCTAGGGGGGTGGGTCTGGCTGCGGAGCGCGCGGCGAGATCAAAGCCCGCAACCTCCCTGGAGGCCAGAACTGCAACTTCCAAGTCAGGGCCGGGAAAGGGGCGAGGGGTAGGAACAGGGAGCGAGGGCGGTAGGACCGGGCGGGAGCTTGCTGGGCCGGCAGGGAGGGGCACAGGGCGGGAGCTAAACAGAGGGAGAGGGAAAAGAAACGTGATGGGGAGCTGGCGCCCGAGCCTGCCGCGCTGCCCGAGTTGCACAGCTCGGGCGCTCCGACCCGGGATCCTATAAAGGAGCCCATCGGCTCCGCGCCCACTGCTCCCTGCCAGCACCGGGGTCCCTCTGTCGCCCCAGAGCCCGGTCCGCCTGGGTTTCGCACCCCCAACCGCATGGCTCCCCGTGGCGCTAGGGGTACCCAGGTGGCAGGGGCAGCCTCCGAGGGGCACCCGCAGCCGCTGCTCCTGGCCCCCAGATCTGTCTCAGGCTGGCCAATCCCGGCGGGGCAGCTCGCCCAGGTGGCTGGCGCTTGAAGAGGGCGCGGCTCCGGACCTCGCCCACCGTGCCTCCTCAGGAAAGTGACCAGACCCGGGCGGGGGCAGGCATGCCGGACCCGGAATCTTCGCGGGCCTGCGCGGTGCGGCCAGGAGCGCTGGCAAACTCCTGCGGGCGGAGTCTGCAGATCCCTGAGGGCCCAGGTTAAGAGAGACTCAGTCCTGAACAATTGGGGTAAGAAAACCCTCTTGGCCCCAGCCCCTCCCCAACGACCCCCCCCCACTACGTGCCTCCAGGAGCCAGGCGGAGCCAGGCTGGGGTGCCAGTCCTTCAGCAACCCCGGGCGTGGAGAGGAGCGATTCGAGACACTCGCGGCGCCTTGGGCACTGGGGTGCAGGACGCGCCCTTCTGCGGGGCCGCGCGCCTGTGACCTCCGATTCTCGCGGACAGCCTGGTGGTGGTGGTGGGGAGGCACGAGGAAGACCGGAGCTGACACGCGCGGCGAAAGGAGCCTATGGTCTCCATGGTCCTCCCGTCCTGCACCCTCTCGCGCGCCCGCCCTATGCCCGAGAGCTGCGCCCCAGTGCCTGGGCAAGGAAAGCCATGGGGAACCCGGAGGCTTCGTGCGCCCCGCCACCGCTCGCGGGCTCCCAGGCTGGGCTGCCGTACTCCAACCTCACCTCCGCGCCTCCCAACAACTGCAGCGCGCCGAGCCACATTTACCAGGACTCCATCGCCCTGCCCTGGAAAGTGCTGCTGGCGGTGGTGCTGGCTCTCATTACCTTGGCCACCACACTCTCCAACGCCTTTGTGATCGCTACCGTGTACCGCACCCGAAAGCTGCACACCCCGGCCAACTACCTGATCGCGTCCCTGGCGGTCACAGACCTGCTCGTGTCCATCCTGGTGATGCCCATCAGCACCATGTACACGGTCACTGGCCGCTGGACCCTGGGCCAGGCACTTTGCGACTTCTGGCTGTCGTCGGACATCACCTGTTGCACGGCGTCCATCATGCACCTGTGCGTCATAGCGCTGGACCGCTACTGGGCCATCACGGACGCCGTGGGCTACTCGGCCAAGAGGACGCCCAGGAGGGCGGCAGGCATGATCGCACTGGTGTGGGGCTTCTCCATCTGCATCTCGCTGCCGCCCTTCTTCTGGCGCCAGGCTAAGGCCGAGGAGGAGGTGCTGGACTGCTTGGTGAACACCGACCATGTCCTCTACACTGTCTACTCCACGGTGGGCGCCTTCTACCTGCCCACCCTGCTCCTTATCGCCCTCTATGGCCGCATCTACGTGGAGGCGCGCTCCCGAATTCTGAAGCAGACGCCCAACAGGACCGGGAAGCGCCTGACCCGAGCCCAGCTGATAACTGACTCTCCTGGGTCCACGTCTTCAGTCACCTCCATCAACTCTCGGGCTCCAGAGGTGCCCAGCGAGTCCGGCTCACCTGTGTACGTGAACCAGGTCAAAGTGCGAGTGTCTGACGCCCTACTGGAAAAGAAGAAGCTCATGGCCGCCAGGGAGCGCAAAGCCACCAAGACCCTGGGAGTCATCTTGGGGGCGTTCATTGTATGTTGGCTGCCCTTCTTCATCATCTCGCTGGTGATGCCCATCTGCCAGGACGCCTGCTGGTTCCACGTGGCCATCTTTGACTTCTTCAACTGGCTGGGCTACCTGAACTCCCTCATCAACCCCATCATCTACACCATGTCCAACGAGGACTTCAAGCAGGCCTTCCATAAACTGATACGCTTTAAGTGCACAACCTGACTGGTCCATTGCAGTGAGGTCGCCCAAGCGACCTCTGGGGACCAAGTTGGGTCTTTCCACAGGTAGGTGGAATCTTCTTTGCTGTTACTAGGTCGGAGCGATGCACTCTCTGCTGGGCAAGGGCAGTGGGTCCTGAGAAGCCAGGACAGCCCTGCGAGGGAGCTCTGGAAGCAGAACTGTTCAAACTAAACATAGAGCTTTCCTGCTGCGGAGCAGGTTCACCTCCTCCCCTCAAGCCCCGACTCAGCACACTTCCCGCGGCAGCCAATCACAGAGGGGGTTGTGACTTTAAAGTTGGTGATGGATAGGGCATCCCTACATTGCCTTGGCCTCCTGGATGATGGTGCCCTCCAGAGCCAGTGGTCTTTGTAGTTATAGTGCGAAGCCTCTCTCATATGGATCTGCATACAGCCTGGCAGTACTTGAACTAGATGCTTAATACCCTGTGTTGTGGGGAGAACTTTGTGTTACAGTTTAATTTAAGAACAGTTACTTTGGCATCCTTCAGTCTTCAGTTTTTGTTTCTTTAAACTTGGTTGGAGAAACTTGTGGATTTGGTGCTTCAAACTGTAAATGTGGTTTGGACGGCACAGAGAAACCTTGAAGAGTTAACAGCAAAATTCTAATGCTAAGATCTCTATTTTTATTATAATTGAAACTATATGGGAGTGGGTGGGTGGGAATGGGAGATGGGAGAGTTACATTGAGAATCAACACCTGTACTTGTTTGTTTTCTGCAGATTTCTAATTTTGTAATTCCTGTGGAGCAATTATCAAACTACAACTCTAACAATTTAAAACAAAACCTTATGTGTGCTAGTGCCAAAGTCTGCAGATTGCTTTTTATTTTTGCTCCTAATTTCATGAATCTGTCATTTTTATACATTTGAATCCCCATAAATGGAGGGTATGATGGGTGACTCAGCCCAAACTGCTGCTATATGTCTTAATGCAATCATTTCTGCCGATGACTACTGGATATATACTGTTCCTTAACAAGAAAAGTATCTCTGTTCCTTACTCAAGTCAGGGAGATGTAAAGGAGACATGAACTAGAAATGATTCTTATACAGCCAAGGAATGAGGGGCAATAGGAGGATGTATATTTTGACTTGTAAAAAAATCTTAAAATGCATGAGACATTTTTCTTATCGTCATTTGCATTCTCCTTCCCATCTGTGATTCCTTTGTGTGCGAAAATATGAAATAACCAAGAGAACTAGTTTCCTTCTCTGGAAATTTTTAAAATACAGCAAGAGCCCTAAAAACTATATTAGAGAAAGGGGGAAAAGCTTTTTTTTTTTTTTTTTCTTGCTATTGACATTTAGGTAGGAACAAAGATTACTAGAAAATGACATGTAAGAAATTTTAAAAAGCTTAAGAGAGGCTGAACTTGAACCTATTTTTTATAACTTACAGAACCAAACCTCAGACTTACTAAATCATCAGGAATCTGGCAAGACTTTTAATCTTGCAAACCTGTCTCCCTGCCCTAACACCTCAATGGATACAATAACCTGGAATACTTCCAATGTTTCTTTTTTTTCAAATTTAAACAATACTTAGTCATTTCAAATTTACTCTGAGGGCTCCTCAATGCAGGGTCAAATTACACACTAAAAAAATGGAAAAATAAAAACATTACCTTAATAAAAAGAAGTACTCCTGACAGATCATCTACACAGAAAAAAAAAATGTGTATGTAAAGTATTTAATATGCCAAAGAAGATACGCACCTCTTTCTTCAGAGGGCTTTTTGTAGTTGATAGCTTTGTCTGCAGAAGTAAGTTGTCTTGATGAAATGGATTTACACACTGCTTTAAGCTCCCCAGTCCAGATCCTCAGACAATAGACATTCTGAGTGAAGTATGCTCCTTGCCCACTGTGCAGATCTTCTCTCTGGGGAAGACTTTTGAAAATAGACTATTCAAACGTTCACAGGAAGCTAGGTGAAAAGGGAATTTTGATTAATATTATGCCTATCACTGAACTAAGATAAAATCTTAAACATCCTATTCTTCTTCTGGATGTCATATTTCCTTGTTTGCTTTTTGTGACATTTCTCCCATGGAGGAATGTGCATAGAGCATGGTATTTGTATGTTAATGTCAGTCTTCTGTTTATGCAGCTGTATTTTCTTGGGGCCTAAGAGGCAATTAAGTCAACTTCTCAGATCCTTAGGGGGAAAAGTTAATTGAAACAAAGAGCCACTTACAAACAATTTCTTTGTAGGGCACCTACAATGATTGTGTCCTCATGTCAGCAAAACATAGTCACTTTAGTCAAATTGATTGTTTGCCATTTTGTAAATTACCCACCTTATTTATTGCTTGACTGTTTGGCTAAATTGACTGATTTGGGGCATATTGTATGAAGTAGAAGCTTGCAAACCCTTGTAGTTATAAGAGATCTAGAATCATCTTCCAACAGTGCACATGATTATGCAAACTGTATTATTCATCCCAGGGGTACACAGTTAAGACTGTTAATCTCCTTTTCAGTTACTATTGCCTATTGCATAGTTTGTTTCATAAAACAGACACATGGCTTTTTTGCAGAACATTAAATGAAAAATGGAAATGTTCAACTTACATGGAAATGAAAATATATTTTCACTGGCTGTGGTAGCAAATAACATTTTCCATGTTGTTTAATTGCACAAAATTTCACACACTTATATGAATGTACACTCATTTAAAATACCAATATTGTCTTGTGTTTTTAGGAATTTTAGAGTTTCCTTTCTAAAGATGGACACTGCACCCATGAATAAATTTTTGTTGAGTTCAACAAATTTCCTAAGAACAATATTCTTTACTTTTCCTCTCTATTTTCTTAGTTTTGTCTTCTTTAACCAAGAAATCATGAGAGGACTATAATTCACTCAAGCAGTAAAATCTCAGATCATATGTATTTGATGGAGTTCCTGTGATTGAAAATTGCCTTTGGTATTCCACCTTTCAGCATATGTGTAATTGGAAATGAAATTTATGAAAATAATGAAATAAAAGTCCTTTTTTGTGTTTCAAAAGCATTGAATAATAGTTCTATTTTTATGGAAAGATGGGTTATTTGGCTTCTGGAGGTTGTAGTTAGAAGTCTGAGCTTTAATGAAAAAATGACTGATAAGAAAGGAGACTGTTGTAGCCTGATATATGCTGCCATGACTTGGAAAGTTAATATTTGTAGGAAGAATTTAAAAGGAATTAAAGATTTTGCTCTCATATTCTTCAAAGAAAGTATGTCACATCAACTACTGCAAGTTTTCAAGGTCAACATTTTTAGAAGAAATCTTTCGTCTCCAGGCAAGGTAGTGAGATTGTAAGGTACAAAACTAAGAAAAGGAGAAGCTGAGTTAGAAGCAATCTTGGGGAAGACCTAACAGCAGTAGGTTGGATTATCTGAAGACCAATGAAGCAGACAAGAGAAAAGCTTTGGGAATCAGAAAGTTTGAATTACAAGTAAAGTATGTAATACCTGTGTCATTCTTCTTCCAAAATATTGATGACTTGCAATTGGTTGCAAAGACTTGGAGCCTATACATGAAAAAGACTTAGCAAGATGCCTGACTTTTTGACATTCAGAGATGGTACCTCCTCTTACCAATCATTTCTCAATGCCTCCTTTATAGATGCAGGACACCTATTGGTTAGAAAAGTGATTACTTGGTAGAAGGTGAACTGGGGAAGACTAAATTAGCCTGGATAGCATGAACTTGGCTAAACTAGAAGTGATTGTGGTTTCCAGTCTTTTACAATTACCTCACTAAAAATAGTGGGATTTTACTATACTGGGCCGGGGATTTAGCTCAGTGGTTCTGCTGCCTGCCTCACAAGCGCAAGGTCCCAAGTTTGATCCCTAGTACCAAATAAATAAATAAATAAATAAATATAAAAAAGAAAGAAAATAGTAAGCCCAAAGAACAAAAGAATTATAAACAGTTGTTTGCAGTGGCTCCAATGACCAAGAAGTCATTGCCAAATATTTAGTTTCTTATAATACCCTGTTTTTCACTTTTAAAGGCTTTCTGCTTCCTTTTTTCCTTATCTAGAGATTTAAGGCTATCTTCTCAGAGTCCAAAGCCCCACCACATTCACATCTTTTCTCAATACTTCCATTTTCCACTTTGTTTTATTGTTATAAAGCCATAATAACTAGTAAGTAATAAATAATGTGTACATTTTAATTTTGCCCGTGAAGAGCTTGATTAGTCAAGCGTTTTTCCATTATATGAGAGGAAATTGTGGACCTAAAAGAGTACATGAGAGGAGGGATGTAACCCTTTCAATTGAGGGATCTCCTGGAGATTTCAGAAGAGGAGTTTTCATAGAGCTGTGGTAAAAGCTCCTGCAACTTTTGTCAGAATCCACTTGGGACAGTCCACTAGAGGGCAGAGTGTCTCTGAGTTGTCTCCCTGTTGGGGTTGCTCACAATCACAATCTCCAACTTCTTCCTGGACATTTTGCAAGTGATATTAACTACTTTAGGAAAACAAAATGATATTAACTCCACAGTGTAAACTGATCCAAGGAAGAGAAGTTTTATCCTTGATGTAAAAAAAAGATTTTCAGAACTGACAGTTCAGGCTGAGGATCCTTCACCACATCTAAAGTTTTTCTTGATACAGTATGTGCAAACTCAATTATTCTTAGCATTTTTTTTTTTTTTTTGGTACTGGGGATCGAACTCAGGACCTTGCACTTGCGAGGCAGGTGACGGAACCACTGAGCTAAATCCCTGGCCCAAACTCAGTTATTCTTAACTGAGTACAACATTGTGACCTTTTATTAATGTGGCATTGAATGAAATTACAGGGTAGAAAACAAATACTTTATTTCAAAATAAAGGTAACTATGTAAACATTTTTCAGTACAATCATTTTACTTACTACTGGTTTTCTTTTCTAAAACTTCTACAGTTTGAAGTTGATATATTCATAGAACATGTGCCATTTGGCATGTAAAGACAGGTCTGCTTTTTTATATAGAAGAAAGGAGGCATAATTCTACATCAGTGTTTTCCACAAGGCAGACCTTCAAGATTGCATAATTTTGACATTTATTCTAAAATAGTCATATATGAGTACAATCTTATATATCACTATCACAAAAATAAATTTTTGTATGAGCAAATAGATTATATAAAAGAAGGAAATGAAAACAGCCCTATGATTGTCATTCCTCTGTAACATTATTGTTAGTCTTAAGTATTTTCATAGTCCTCAGTAGAGAGACTTCCATGTACCATTTCACACATCTATCAGTAAATTGGACTTTAAGTTAACATCCAAGTCTTGTAATTACACAAGGATTTTCAGCACCCCCTGAAAGAGAGCCAGCCCCTGGATTCAAGCCAGCTGACAATGAGAGTGACTTAATGCTATTCCAAGTATAGTTTATAAAGGAAAATGGCCACTTCTTTTATCTTATTTGTACATTTCTCCAAAGATAGGAAGAATTAAAAATATTTTACTTTAAAAATAAACTATTAACTGGAAAGCCATAAAACAAGGATGCTCTTGTAATATTTCCTGTAACAAAAGTGAACAGATGGTGATGAAGGGATTCATTTATGATAAATGCTTTAAAAAATATACACACACCCTGCTTTAATGATGCAAGAAGGTATGACTCATTTCCTCCCTGATTGTGAGCACATTCCACACATCACCCTCTGATTGCCCATCCTATATAGGGATAAACAGATTTTACAATGTCTCTCAGTGTGATGGCAATGTTGAGATGGATCAGCAGGGACAGAACAGTTCTCAAAGGGTAAAGAATTTGGTTGGAGCTCTGTGCCTAGTGTAGTTTTGTAAATCCTGCAGTCTCGTTTTACCCTATTTGCTTAGTCCAGTTTGCCATGGAATGTGGAGCAGCTCCTCCTATAATTTATCAATCCCTTCTTCACTCATTGAATACTCTTAGTGGATTCAGCTCTGGGCTGACTGCTTTTGTGCAGAAGCGATACTATTGCTTATCCCAGTTTTGCCTAACCGTAAGTTCCTGGAGTCCTTTGTCTTTTTTTTTTTTTTTTTTTGGCCTTTTTTCTCTTGGCTTTACCACAAAGTATTGCATACTTTAAGAAGCTGAGAACCAGTTGCTAGTACTTCTCAGAAGGTAATGGGAAAATGACTTAATTGAGGAATTGGTTAAAATGCAAATTCTCTTGAAGTAGACCTGTGGTAGTTCCTTAGATTCTGCATCCTTTCCAAGCTTTGGGAGATCCTCCCAAGGATTCAAGGCTGATGATGCTGATGCAGGACCGCTCTTTGAGTAATGAAGATCCAAGCTTGCTTAGTTATAGAGAATAGAGCATATCAATCTCAAAACCAAAACAGAAGCAACACAAAACTCACAAACGAGTGAATTGTGATTTATAAAGCTCAGCAATAGGTTGTGCTTTCTCATCTTGTTTACATGATATTCGTATCTCAGCTTCAGTAGCTATTAAATGTTTCCTCTTAAATGCTTTCTGCTAGATTCTTTAAATCCTCAGTATTCCCCCATATAATCAACTCACTCTGAGTATGAATCAAGTAAGCATGATCCTCGAATTCATACCTATGCTTTATGTTAGTTCCAACCAAGAGCTGTGTTTGTAAAAAAATAATGAATAAAAATTGCAAAACAGTGCTCAAATGACAAATTAACAAAGAAATAACAATTGTCAATAGAAGGCTCAATTACCTTGGTAATTCATTTTACTTAATAAGCCCATTGCTTTCTTTAAGTTAAGGGCACACATATTTATATTTACAAGTAGCCATTTAATCAAAGCTGAAACAAGTGTGCTTTTCATACAGTAGGTTCTATTCTTACTGAGGTTTAGAGACTTCGCATCCTAGAGAAGTGATGCAGCATCTACTTGATTTCAAAAAAAACCTCATCATTTTTTATTCTCAAAATATTTCATGAGTGTTTTTCTGTGAAAGTAATTTTAAGTTATTTTGAGAAAAGTTTGTCAACAACTTGGCATATACCATACCTCTCTACTTATAAAACTGGAGATACTGTTGAGTTTCATGAGCCTAACTTGGAAATCAGAATGAAGGAATCTTGCTTCAGAAAGAATGCTTTGGGGTTTTTTTTGGTACCGGGGATCGAACTCGGCTCCTTGCGCTTGCAAAGCAGGTGGCGGAACCACTGAGCTAAATCCCTGGCCCATGCTTTGGGTTTTTATTTGAGTGTTTGAAGTTTAATAGAGTCAGTGTCCAGGTAGGATTTTATTCTATATTATAAAATAAAGTTTAATCTTTCATGTCCTCCCTGTGCAATTACGATGTTTCCAGTTGAATTCTAGCAAAAATGCATTGCTCGGAATTTAACTTCTTTATTTACAAAGGAGCAGAAGTGGGGGCAGGATTGATTGACCAGTTATGTTGTGGCTCCTACACACCCATTTAATAACCACTCTTACCCATTTAGTCCTAACAGCACTACTGTGAGGTGCGTATTATTTCTACTGTTATATTATTATTAGCATCTTCATGAATTAGGTGTTACAACCATTTTTTCCACTTCTGCAGTTCAAAGAATTCTAACAGCCCCAGTTTA